TTTTTGCATAAAAGGAAAAAACATAGATAGTATAAAAATATGAAAAACAAAAATAGTTCGTTATAATAAAGAATACTAATTATATTGTAATATTATAAGATACAAAGATCATTTTTCGCCTCCCGTGATTTTTGATCAATCAAATTTCGTAACGTAAACAATCAGAAATTTTAATTAAGAAACCTCCTTCTGTGACCTAATTAAAAATGTTTCTCGTGAAATTTTACTAATAGAAACTCTATCGTCCTAACCCTAACCTTACCACTAACCCTAACCCAAACTACAACGTTTTATTCTCAGTAAAAATTACGGGGGGCAATTTTTGTGGGTGTAATTTAAGTCAGTAACTAATATAAATATTATACCGATACAAATATCTCAAATACAGTAACATGATGCTTCAAAGCATCTTCGCTGGCGAATAATTGAGAACTCGACTTATAAAAGACATGTTAGCATTTAAGTGTTTTGCAATTTCGAAATGATAAGCTTTTTCAAGCACTTTCGAATATATGGATGTATTGAAAACTTCTGCGACAAACATTAATAAAATCATGATTTGAACGGAATTCTGTGGAGAATTACTATAATTTTGCATGTAATAAAATTTCTGAAGTCAAATTTTTGTTATGTGAATAACGTTGGTCGTAAATCTGGCACATAAATATAATTATATATATTAGAGTTGCCTGCCGTAATTGTTTTTAACAAGTTGTAATATTACAACCTATATGTCGTAATATTGCAACCTATATGTCGTAAAGGTTGTAATTAATTACGGCAGGCAACTCTAATATATATAATTATATATAGTTCGGAACGCCAAGATGGATGTTGTGCCATTGCACTATTTAATGTAATTTTATTAAATCTACAGTAATAATAACGAAAAATCATTCGGCAAATTTTTACTGGTGTCCCAGGAATTATGATAATAGTTATAAGCGTGGTTATTAAGAGTTTTTTCCAGCGATTTTATTTATTTACCGAAAACCAATTAAAAACTTTAATTTTCGCAAACGAAGTGAAAGGAGAAGAATAATAATAAACGACTTATAATTAGCACGTGCATTATAAAAAGTTGAGCATTATATACAAAGTTGAAAACCATAGTATGAAAATGTAAACGTCTTCAATGTAAATTAAAATACGAATATGCATGTAGTATAATGGTAGTTGGATTAAAATAAAAAAAAAGCTCCTATGAGAATGATTGTTAGCAGTTAATTAGAATTATAAGTATTTATCTTTCAGCGTGTTAATTAATGCCTGTTGACACCTGATTAGTTCTTGTTGAAATTCAACCATTGTTTCAAAGTTTTGAATAACATTTTTGACAACGCTGTCCTTGTTTTGCTCAACATATTTGATAGTATCAATTAAATCGCTCTCATGGCACAAATAAACTTTTGTTTCCTGTTTTACTTCTTCAATAATTGCATTTGAAAACACAGAATTCGAAACAAAAAAGCCAAATACACTATTAGGCATATGTTTCATTTCTTGTAAAAATTTTTTAATTTTAGGTGGCATTATTAAAAACCATGGCAGGTATATACACTTTACAACGAAATCGAGGCTCTTGAACTTTCCGAACATCATATCGTTCTCGATCTTTATAATCTCAACATGTTCGATCTTTTTTAAAACATTCATTATTAACAAAAAATAGGTGTTGTTTTTTTTGTCGTTTGAAAGCTGCAAAAAATAAAAAATAAAAAAGCAGTGAGTATTAAAGATATCATCATTACAACCGCAGATTTGTCCTACACCTTTTCATCCTCACGGAATAGCAATATTCCGCGATTCATCTTACTAAGGCAGCGTAACTTATGACATGCGGTACGCTAAATAACCCATACAAAGTGAGCAAAAGCACTCACCATTTCAAACTGGTCTGTATAATCAAATATGGATTTTCGGCTTATAGGTAGGATATTAACTTTATGTTCATGTTTGGTTTTCTTTTGTTTGCCCATCGTTCAAATCAATAAGTGCTATCGAAAAAAAAATGTTATCGAAAAAAAAAACCTCAGGCTTTATTTTATATTAGATTTAATAACATATGGCAATAATTTTAATTACGTAATGTAAGGCTGAATCTGGTAAATAAATGATCATTTTCCCATAGCATTTTCGCAAGTACAACTCCTAACAAGGAAATTTTGCCATCAATGAAATTCCAAACCGTACAAAAAAAAAAATTGTTGAAATTAATGCTAAAAAAAACTAGAACAACTAGAATGAAATTTTACGTATAGTAAGGGATGGTTCACTCATAGCTAACATTTTAACTACTGTATAAAATTTTACCTTTACGCACTTTATATCAAATTTTTTAGATCATTCGCGACAAAGTGCTGTACGTAGTCGTCGCGAATGATTTTCAAATCATTTTGGATTAGGTTTTGTTATGTGTCCGAAAATTAATAAGCAAATTTATACTATATATAGTATATGATTGATTGCGAATCAAATTCTAGTACTATGATTCTACTCGAACTATCACGTTCTGATTGGACGAAATCGAACAATCCTTGACAGCAACTTACCTATCAAAAATTTTCATCGTAAAAAAATTTAGATTATCAAAACAAAAACTGCGGCTAAGTTCTCGAACTTCAAAATTAATGAAAATTTTTTTATTTTATTAATTTATAAAAAAAAATTTCATCAATATTAGGTAGGTGGTAGTTCAAAAAAGTCTAGACGATTATCAAAACAAAGACCATGGCCAAAAACTTTGAGCGATGATATCATGATAACTACCTATTCAAAATCGATAGTTCTATTAATTTATGGAATCAAAAATAAATAAAAAAAATTTAAACGATAATATTTCGGTAACTACCTATCTAAAATCGATGAAAATTTTTTATTTCAATTCTATAGACTCATAGAATTAAAATAACAAAATTTTTATCGATTTTAAATAGGTAATTATCGAGATATCATCGCTCAAAGTTGGAAAGAACTTAACCGCAGTCTTTGTTTTGATCGTCTTACTTTTTTTAGACTTTAAATAAAGTTATCTCAATAACTAACTACCTAATATCAATAGAAATTTTTTTTATTTTGATTCTATGAATTAATAGAATTAAGATAAAAAAATTTTTATCGATTTGGATAGGTTATTATCGAGAAATCATCGCTCAAAGTTTGAAAGAACTTAGCCGTGATCTTTATTTTGATAATTGTCTAAATATTTTTTTTTTTGAATTTTAAGCGAATGATTCACCCGAAAAATTAGTGAATGAATTTTTAGTTGAGAAACCAGCCTCGGTTCAAAATTAGTTAAATTGGAAGTTTAAATAGAAACAAATTATTAACGTTGTAATAAATGTAACCTTAATAAATTAAAATAAATTTTGACTTTTTAATATTAATCTATAATATACAATACATACAGTATTACATTATTCTTATAGCATGCAATGTATATCTATGGATATTATGAATAACGACACATATTATGACATACGTACGGCGTATAATATATTAAACAATAATGCGACGGATGAAATTTTTAATACAGCTACACCGCTAAGCTTAGCATAGCACGAGAGGTTGGGACCTAAATCTGAAGATTATTATTGCGAATATATCATACTGCTGCAATTTCAAGATATTCAAGATAAAGTATCACAAATCATTAAAAGATTGATTCTTTGTGGCAATTAGCCAACATTTCTTGAAGACATGTCGAATATTAATATTGTACGTTGAAAACAAATTTTTGTGGATCCGAATCAACTTATGTTGCAAGCTGACTCGGTTGGTAATAAGTGGATTTAAAATTTAATTATTATCGAATCAAAAGAAGTAATTTATATGAAAAAAAAAACAAAGTAAATAAAATTGAATTCTTATTTATCAGATCGTTAAATTTTTAAAAATGATCGAGTTATAAGAATATTCAATTTTATTTAATGCTTTACTATGATCAGTTTATAAAATAAATCAATTATTTTATGGTATTTTTAAATGACAAAATAATTGAACTATTTTATAAATCTGAGATAGTAAATCATAAAATAAAACCGTTATTGCATGCTCCGTATGAAATAACTGCTGTATTTTATGTTCTCTTCTGATCGTTCGGTAACCCAGCCGTACCGGCTGGGTTACCAACCAATCATCATCGTCCATAAAATACAGCAGTTATTGCATACTTCGTATGCAATAACTATATAATATTCAACTAACTCAAAATTGATCTAACTAAATTAATTGCCTATTCAGAGATCACTAATTCGAAATTATTACATTATAGATTATTACATTGGGATTATTATATTCGGGAATATTACATTCGAGATGTTTTTTTTCAAGATTGTGATTTTTCGAGATTATGATCATTTGGGATTTTTTTTTTCGAGATTTAGTTTTCGAAATATTGCTTTTCGAGATTTTGAGCTTCGGGATATAGTACCATGGAGATTTAGTTCTTCTGGATTTCGTACCAAACCCGATATTTTAGATGCTGGGCACTCTGAAATGTGTAATCACGACTAAATACAGTATATTGTCGCGGATAGTGTTGTTAGCCGATCGACTAACAGTCGACTGACTGAGTCATCGACTAAGTCGTCAGCTTAGTCGACTAAGCCATTAAGGGGCAAATTCAGGATATTGTTACTCGACCGGCTAGAACTTCTTTTTTTCGATACTAAACAATAAGCAAAGCTGCCCAATAAAAATCTTAAAAAGACAATAGTCGAACTTCGACCAATAAATTTTTAGTTTGTCGACTAAGTCGAATTAGTTGACTTAGTCGATCAGGGGTCGGCTAAGTCGACTAAGCCGACTAGCCTCTAATCGGCTTACAACACTAGTCGCGGATATTAAAAGGATCGAGCTAATTGTGTGAAAAAGATGAAGATTATCAATTCGAATTCTAATCAGCCAATCAAAAACAAAAACTTCATCAATGTACATAACCTCGATTGTTCACATCTTTCATCATAAAAACGGAGTGCGTGTCTTTGAGCAAAAATATTATGTTAGAAAAATCAAAACATGATACTTCAAAACGAAACCTTGAAATTCGTAAACCAAAGAAACAGCAAGTATTATCACATAATCGAGTTCCGTCAATGGCTGAATCACTTGTTTGTTATACTGAATATACAGCTCCACTTATTCACGTAGGTCTCGTTCTCAACATAATTTGTTATTTACGTATATATCACATGGATTTTTTTTTATCTACACGTACATCATTTTTAGGTAATGTTTGCTGGAGGTATTGGTGGTTCAACAGCCGATTTTTTAATGCACAGGTAATTAATTTAAATTCCAAAATCATTAGTGAAAAATCGTTGGAACTAATGTATGCATTCAGATGATTTGGTGATTACAATTTATTTATAGTATAGATACTGTAAAAACTAGATTACAAGGTCAAAGAACAATTAAGCCTCTAAAATATCAAAATATGTTGCATGCTTATGTTACAATATTCAAACAAGAAGGAATTACACGTGGATTATATAGTGGAGTAACCCCTGCCATTTTGGGTTCCGGTAATGTAACTGTCTATATGCAAATACTAGTAAGCTAATCATAAAAGGTGAAAAAACTTTATAATTTTATAATTAATATCGTGATGTTTATTATGAAATTAGTGCCGGCAACAACAATTTATTTTGGAATGTATGAGCTTACAAAGCGTAAATTAACTGCAATAGGAATACCAGACACTTTTGCGCATTTGACGGCTGGTAAGGAATATGGAAAAAAGTACATATTTCTATATGCATAGCGAATAATTTGTTCTTATGCGTATTAAACTTCCCCCCTCAAAAAGGTAAAATAAAAATTTATCTATCTATCTATTTATCTATTTAATATTTAATAATATTTACATCATTTAAATAGGTTCTGTGGGTGATGTAATGGCATCTACTGTATACGTTCCTTCAGAGGTAGGAAATATATGTACTTAATGGTTAGTGCGGTCAAAATTGATTAACATTTTTTGACTTAACGCAGGTTTTGAAAACTCGATTGCAGCTGCAAGGTCGTTACAATAACCCACACTTTTTTAGTGGATATAATTATAAAAATACTTTGCACGCTGCACAAATGGTTTGTTTTTACTTTTGCATAAAAAAAACGCTTTACATTTCTCGAAAGGCTGCAATTTAAAATTTTCTTATAGTTATATAAATATGAAGGTCTTAGTGCATTTTATCATGGATATAAAGCAACTTTACTACGTGATGTGCCTTTTTCGGCGTTACAATTTGCTTTTTACGGTATTTTAGTAATCTTTTTAATTTATTATAAATGCATTAAAAACTTGTTTATTAAAATAATTATTAATTAATTACATAGAAAAATTTAAGTTATGGGCAACGTTTTATGCAAGTACTATTAATCAAGATAGTCAATTAAGTCTTAAGTGGGAAATTGCAACAGGCGCATTGGCGGGAGGTCTGGCAGGAGCTTTAACAACTCCTTTAGATGTTATGAAAACGTTACTACAAACTCAAGTACAAAAGCAAGTAAAAAAAGCAGTTTCCTCTACTACTGTTCCTCCTCAAAATTCAGTAAAGTATACTCATTATTATACTGGTGTATGGGAAGGAATGATATGGAATTATAAAAATCTTGGAATAAAAGGACTTTTTATTGGTATTGGGCCAAGGGTTGCTTGGACTACGATGCAAAGCGGGATAATGTTTTTTATTTATGAGCAGGTATTAGGATTATTGTTTAATAATATTTCTGATTGAATAAAAGGAATTATAAGGCAAGTAATAATTGCTGATATTAAATATAAATAAGTAGCTTATAATTAGAATGAATGGCCCTAACAAAAATAATAAAATAAATAAGCATTATACACTTAGGTTTTTATAGGGCTAATAAAAAACTTGAATAGAAAATTGGTTGTATTATTAGATTTATATATAAATATGTGAGTATTTTTTAGATTTTATAGGGATTATTTTTAAAATTATAATTTTAAATAATATTTTATATAAATTTATTAGATAAAAGATGACAATTGGCTAAAATTTATTTTTTATATAATAATAAATAAATAAATAAATTTTGTTTATAGATATTTTATATTAGTATTACTAAATCACAATTGGTGTTTAACACTATATATATTTATTAATAAAATTTAGAGTAAGGTTTTTGGTGCGCTAAACATTTTTACTTAAAACACAGGCTAATATTTAACTAGTTTGGAGATATAGCATTGTGTTGCTAAACACCATCAGTGCGATTTAGTAAAACCGACATTAATTACACCTGCTCGAATAAAAAAAAAATATGTACTGTAATATACCAACATGATTTCGCTTTTAATTTTATAAATATTAGAGCTCTTAAATAAGGCATAATAATAACGTGAGAAAGCTTTAAAAAAATTTTTCAATATGTATGTATTCTTTATTTAACCAGGATATCAATAAATAATTTTCAAACATTTTGTAGATCTACCTGTGATTCTCATGATAATTAAACATAATCTTTATATAAAGAAGCTTATAAATTAATACACATAATGAAATTTATTACATATACTGTATTTAGAGAATTAAATTGTCATCATGTAATTTTTATTTAAAGGTTAAATATTTATTATACAGATTAGTATATATATACAGTATATAAAATTACATATACAGTAATTAAATTGTTTTTAACATTTAAATAAATATAAATATGCAAAATTAAAATAAAAAATTTTTTATTGAATTTGAATAAAAGTTATTGAGGAATATTTATTTAAAAAAATTTTTTTAATAAATAATATTTTAATGTTTTTTAAAACTTCTAGTAGCTATTTTTTAACAATTACTAAACCAAATTTATTTATTTTACTGTATTCTACAAAGTAAATAAAATTAAACCAAAAATATATATATTACTAGATTAGATCAAGTAGTTATTGAGAAATCTTCGCTAGAAGTTTTAAAAACTTCAAAATAATATAAAAATCAGGGTTGATTAGTGACGAAATGTTAATTGATAGTTATGATCAGTAACTTGCATATGGCAAACTTTTGGGTAACATAATTTTAGTATTTAGTATATATAGCGTTCAAACTACACTTGTTTCAGGTGTCAACAATATACTGTAATGCTGTAATGATTGTTTGCAGATCAGTCTAACCTATACACTTATCCTAAGTCTAGCCCTAACTCGGGCCAAAGCGAAATCTGACGAAGAGTTGATCTTGTTACCAACAAATTTTTATATGTTTAATGAAAATCATTTAACTAAAAACTGTGAAGATCATAAGGAATTTGTTTTATAAAAAATTCCGTGCTTTAATAAGATCTAATATCAAATGGTTCATATTTGTGTTGTACCATGAGCTAAATGAATAATATGGTAAAAAATTAAAGCTACATTCGTAACGATAATCTTTATCACTATGTGACTATGATAAACCATTCAATGGAATTTCTATAGAGTAAATGCCAGATTTGATGTATGTAAATCATGAGATTCGTAACACATTCATTTATCGCATATATCGATATCAGTAAATTTGCGGTACATATCAAATTATTTTTTTTTTTTGTATAATGACCAAATCAGAAGCATCAGCTGGAAAACCACCATTACGTGAACAACGAGAAACATGTTGGAAATTACGAGATGAATATTTTTCATGTCTCGAAACACTCTCGGTATTTGACCCTACAAAGGTAGATACTGATGAATTAATAAAAACATTAGTTAAAAAAAGTGATTGTTGGAAGAAAAAAAGTTCCTACGAAAATGCTTGTATTACAAGTTGGGTAAGTCGTTTGTTTATCAAATAAATTTACGGATTAAATTAGTCTTTTTCAATATTGCTATACCAATTTTTCGATTTAAAATTTGAAGGTAGATTATTTTAATAAACGACGCGCATTGGAGATTAGACAACGTCAAATCTCTGCAGATGCGAAAAAACGTTCAGATGGAGAGTCCGAAAGTAAATAAAATATATCAATTTCGTTTGTTAAAAGTTAATAAAAAAGAAAAAAAACGGTATTTTCTTTATGCGTCTGAAAATGACTAAGAACGTTTTTCAAGTTTTATTATTATTTGGAATGTTTATCAATCTAAATGAAACAATTACTGCAAGAATAGAAATATCCACTCAAGATAGTATAGTTAATCATCTGGAAACACGAATATTTAATACATCGAAGACATTGTTATTTTAGACATTATGAAATATCCCCCAAAAAATAAGAAAAACATGCGCTACGTGACTATGTGACATACTCCTTAAGTTCGTTTCTTCATTTATTATGTAAGCTAGTTCAACAACGTGACATAAGATGTTCGATTTGACTTGTTAAAAGTCGGTTCAATTCCCATAAATTACGACATAATCTTAGAGCATCAGAGTCATTAGAGTCACTATTATTTAAATTAAAACATTTCGTTAACATTTATAGTTATTAAATTGACTATCTGGTCATACTGAAAGTTCTACCAAAAAATGATATATAAATATTTTCCCAAAAAGATGATTTTGACTATTAAATGAAATATTATAAAAAAGGCTGGCATTTTTCAAATATTTTTAATTTGCTTGAGTCATTGTGACCGTTGACAATTTATACCTCACTAAGCTTGTAATAAGATCGTTCCTTCTCTTGTCTTCCATTTCATTGATAGCACGATTAAATTCTTCGACCTCTGCTCCTTTTTTCTCAACCCATTCTTCTCTCTCATTGTCATTCAACGCATTATATTCACGATAAGCTTCGTGAACATCGGAAGTCCAATAATGTGGATTTGAACCTCGACTTCCAGGTAAAGTAACGACAAAAATTGCAGAAAAGTCCATAGATTTCTTTATATCATCAATATCAATATTAGGAAGGCAATCAAGTACATCTTTAGGAATATTTTTTTGTAAAAGATCCTCAAAGCTTATAGAACGATATTATTATGTTAGAAAGTTTAATCAAAGATAATAGGACTAATATTATTAATACCTTGTGGTTTTCTCTAGTAAGCAGGGTTTGCAACATAATCTTTTGAATTCCCAGACTAAATGTCGTTCAGATTGGTCTAATTGAACTCTACATACGTGGCATGAGTTGCCCAGTTCTTTCAACCAAATATATTGTTGTTCACAAATTCCTTTAGGTGGTGATATCGAATCTTGTGAATATATTGATATTCTAGACTTGCGCCAGATTTGTTGAGTAAAACCCGAAGTAGCCCATAAAAAATGTCGAAGTTTTTTACAAACTATAGTTAAAGTGTAAAGATCTTTAGGTGAAAGATTTTCACATATTTCGGCCAAGATTTCTGAAGTCAAGGTCAACAAAGAACAATTATTCATGTTAGTTAAAGATTCACATGATCCATTTGTAAAGGTGGGAGAGTTATGTTCCAAGTTTTCTTTGCTTTGCATGGTTACGAGTTACGAGGAAAACGATAAGAAAATGTTAAAATAACATTAGCGTTAGTGTTTAGTGATACATTTATTTATATATACACGTGAATGCCGGAGTGTTGTACCATACTCCGAAAAATGATTGTTTAAGTCACCTGTTGATATTTTGTTACGTATTTTTTACATTTTACGTAGTACATTTGTTTAGGTTAAATACGTAATTCAAAATTTCAAAGTTTTTTAAAAAACAAATTGTTTTTTCTTTCTCGATCTTTGCCAAAAAAGCTTTTTGCTCTTTTAAATTCTATTAAGGTAGGAGACAACCAATTCTGAGTACATAAATAATAAATACTAGTTTTTTAACAAAATAAACACTATGAATTGTTTTGTTTTGATCAACAAAAGAAATAGCGTTTCCAAATATCGCACAATGGATTCGTATAAAGATTATTATATGGATCCAGGATTTTTACCCCAGAAAGTTACAATGGCTCGTCTACGCGAAATACTAGGAGAACATAATATACATTATACGGGTAGTGAAAAAAAAGCAGAGCTTGTAGAATTGTTTAATAAACATATTCGACCGCTTGTACCATCATTACGAGAAAAGGAAGAAGAATTGAAGAACTTTCGTACCAGAACTGAAGCAGAGCTGGCAAAATCAGCAGAAAGAAAAACCAAAACAGCGCGGAAAAGAGCAGTTGCTTCGCCCGAGACTCCAAAAGTATGAATATTTACGTGATTTTTCGGAATTAAAAGTTTTTTTTTTTTAAGGAAGTTTACAACATATTTTATATTATATGATTTAGACCACTCCCAGGTCCTCTCGTTCATCAAAAAGAACTAGTAAGGGAAAGGTTAAAG